ACAACCGAATTCAATATCGATAACTATAGAAACGATACTATACATGTATAAAGTCATCGATATAATCACTATCATTGTAAAAGATATTATCCTGCAGTTATCATTGTATAACACGAGCAAAAAAGATTTTAAACATCGAGTAGAGATTCGAATCGAATCGAATAGAAAAACATGACGCATATTCGTGTTAATCGAGATGCAATGATGATTCAATTAAATACATTGGTCCGATTGTTAATCCTTTTAATTAATCCTTCCGCACTTGGAAAGTATCTTAATTTTTTTTTTTTTAGAAGAATTAACGATTGCGTTTGTATTATAAACATCGATGTATTTATATTATTGTCAAAGTGTAATACATTTTTAAACAATTATTTGAAAGAGTGGAGTGCATTATAATAGAAATCTGTTTCATCGTAACAAGTTGATATTTTATATACAGATAAATATATATTTACGCACTATGTGTGTTGCATTTTGCAAATTTTTAACACCTTAAATTTCCAAAGGACTGCACGGACCTTCGCAATTTACTAATTGAAGAATGAAATGTTTTATAAACGTTTCTTACTCGAGATATTCAGCGATTGCTCGTACTTTCAACGATCTATATACGCCAAATGGCATGTTTATCCGCGAATCGATCGCGCGAGAATTCATGTCCACTACGCTTCTGAATGGAATTTGAAATTTTTATGAACACGATTGAAGAAACGTAGCTTCAGCAGGAATAAAATTACATTCTTCAATACACTGCGTGCGTTCTTTACATCTTAGCTTTATCACAAATGAGTAAAAATCCGCGGTCTGCTAATAGCCAATCAATCTTGCAAGACAAATAATCCAACGAGACCTTATGTATTCGCAACGCTAAAAATAATCGACTGGCAAATTCTTACCTCTTGAAACGACGATCGATCGATGATAGCGCGATAGTTTGAAATGTGGCGCTCGTTTGAAACAATCCCGAAGGTCAGCTATATCCAAATAAATCGGCTCTATGGCTCTAGCGCGAACTATTATATATAGCGTCGCGTACGAATTCGCTATATATCAGACTAGTATGTCGCCATACTTGCAGACTTGTTGTTCACGAAACGTCGTCCATCTGACAACTGCCAACCGAGTCGTTGGTTTCTGGCTAGAGATACATGCGAACAGATTGTGCAACACGTGACGACGAGCTGCCCTTTGATCAGGCAGCTCGCGCGTTTGGCTGACGCACATAAGCATACAGGAAGAGAAGATCGAGATTTGCCAATTCTTCCCCTCCCCTCCTCCTCCTCCTCCTCCTCTTCCTTTCTTTTCTTTACTTCGTTTCCATGGACCACCAAGATCGAACTTGTGCAAGAAAAAAAAAAAAAAAAAAAAAAAAAAAAAG